TGTATGGGATGAAATTGTCAATGATAGCTGTCATAGTCATGTCATAGTCAATCTGTAATTGTCATATTATTACCGTCATTTGCTATGTAAAAATATTTCTTTCCTAGAATAGGACCTCGCTATAATTATGAGATATGATTTGTCGTAATTGAGGCATATGATCTATTGTAACATCTCTATTTAATCAAGAGAAAACTTAGAGTATAGGGATATAAACTTTTACACAAAAGTTCTGTCTTGTTATAGTATTAGAGCCCTACGGGGTTTCTTGTTCCTCTATTCTATCTTTCTTGTGATTTTTGTTTTTTGGTCTCTTGGTTCGAGCTTTGTGAGTTATATTTTTTGGCATCTCTCTTAGCGTTATATTCATGAAGAAACCGAGAGATAGCTTTTGTCAAGTTTTCGGGCAAGAATTAGTTTGCTTAGGAATTTCGGTTTCAAATTTATGTTCAAGGGAAAGAATTATGGGGAATTATCGATGGCACGGACGATGAGCCGACCGATTCGACCAAAGCTGCGAGTGGGCGGCCAAGGATGCTCGAGTTAAGAGCTAGCTATTGCAAATATGGACTCTTCCATTGTTGTCAATCTTCGACCTTATAAGACAGACCAAAGCTATGTGGGATTACCTCAAGAAAATTTATGATCGAACGAGTTCGACTAGACGGTTTCAACTAGAATATGACATTTCAAATCACACACAAGGTAATCTGTCCATTCGGGAGTATTACACGGGCTTTGTCTCATTATGGACGAGAATATAACAACATTGTGTATGCTTCAATACTCGATGCATCTTTAGAAGCGATTCAAACTCTTCATCATACTAGTCAAAGAGATCAATTCTTGATGAAACTCGGACACGAATATGAAGTGGTGCGTTCTAATTTATTGCTTAGGACTCCTTCTCTATCCTTGGATGACTTGTTTGAATGAACTACTAAAGGAGGAGTAATGTCATCGGACTCAAACCACTCTAGAACAACAAGGGAATTCCACCAATGTTCTCAATGTTGCTTATGCGGCACAAGGAAAGCGACGGGTTCGAACCATAGCTAACACTCGGTGTTACGGTTGTAAGGCATATAGGCATATTGCCGATCAATGTTCTCAAAAATTTTACAACTATTGTAAAATTAAGGGGCATATTATATCCGAATGTAGGAAGTGTCCATAAAATCGTAATCCTCGTGCTCTTCACACATCTACTACCAATATGATGACTGAATCTCCAGCAGTAGTTGATTCTTGTCAAACAAGCAGCAGCATTTCCATCTCTTACTCAGCAAGATGTTCAACGGATGATCATATCGACTTTCTTTGCTCTTGGTCTTACTGGTAAAAATGCATCTCTTTCTAACATTTAGCTTTTTGACTCGATTGCTTCAAACCATATGACTCCATCATCCGATAATCTACTTAATAGCAAAACATATGATGGCAACATGCAAATTGAGACGGCTAGTGGGGATCCTATTCCCATAATTTCCACGAGTGATATTTCTTCCTCTTCATCAATGAAAAATGCTTTTATTGCCACTAGTTTATCGGCTAATTTGCTTTCCGTTGGACAAATGGTTGAGAATAATTGCAAAGTCATTTTTTCTCCTTCGGTTGTACTTGTGCGGGAACTAGTGTTAGGGAAGACGAGTAGCGAGAGGGACCTAAATGCGGCGAGACTTTTTCCTCTTCGACTTTATCAACCAACTAAGCCTATGAATGTGTTTTCTTTATTTTCTTGTTCGTTCAACTTGATTACAAGTCATGGCATGTCAAATTAGATCATCCAAATGATAGAACTCTTTTATCCAAGTTAAAGTCCGGAGTGTTAGGCAATAAAATTTCATCTCATCCCGTCAAAATTGATTGTTCTAGTTGCAAAATGGGTAAAAGCAAAACTCTTCCTTTTCCTTCTTGTGAAACAAAGTCTTCTCAATGTTTTGATTTGATTCATATTGATGTTTGGGGGATTTCACCTGTTATATCTCATGCTCAATACAAGTATTTTGTGACATTTATTGACAATCACGAGTCACTTTACTTGGATATATTTCTTGCGACAAAAATGCGAAGTCTTTGATGCTTTTCAAAAATTCTTAGCTTTCGTTGACAATCAATTTTCAAAAAGCATCAAAATTTTTCATTCTAATTCGGTGAGGAATACATGTCTAAAAAATTCCAAAAGTTTCTTCAACAAAAGGGAGTTATTTCTCAAAGGAATTATCCATATACACCTCAACGAAATGGCATCGCCGAGCGAAAAAATCATCACCGAGCGAAAAAATCATCACCTTCTTGATGTGGTTGCTCCTTACTCATTGAATCTGCTGTTCCATCACAATTACGGGTTGAAGCTTTGACTACTCGCGAGTACATTTAATCAATTGTATTCCTACGATTGTTCTTGACAATCAAACACCATACTTCCTTCTCCATCACCGATAATCCGAATATACACATCTCCATCCATTTGGTCGTGTTAGTTTTGTTCTCCTTCCTCCTCATGAACGTATAAAACTCTCTCCTTAATCAATTAGATGTGCTTTTCTTGGATATGCACCACATCAAAAGGGTTATATGTGTTTTGATCCCACCACTCAACGAATTCGAATTTCTCGTAATGTCATATTTTTTTACCATCGGTATTTCTTTCCCTCTTATGATGTCACTTTACACATTTCTAGTCACTCCTTTCTTCCAGCTTTTGAGGATCCGTTCGGTCATCATAATAAAAATCCTTCTATTCCTATCATACGTTTTAGACCTAGCATTGTGTATACAAGGAGAAATGATAATGAGGTTCAAATTGGAGACATTCTTCATGAGTCATCCGCTCAACCAACCCCTAATATAGCTCTCTCACAACCTCCACAGCTCTTTCCTTCCATCGGTTCTCGATGTTGACTCACCACAACTTCGAAGGTCTACTCGCACCTCACATCCACCAAAAAGGTATGGATATTCTCTTGACCGATATGGTTCTCACACATCTTTAGCCGTAACACTCGTCATCTATTACTATTCCTAGATCTTACTCGAAGCTATGAAGTTTGATTGTTGGAAGAAAGCTATTCAAGAGGAACTTGATGCTTTGCGGCAAAATAACACATGAGAGACGGTATCTTGTCCATCTTCAATCACTCCAATTGGTTGTAAATGGGTATTCTCTCGTCAAACTTAAATCGATGGTTCATTTGAATGGTGTAAGGCTAGACTTGTGGCACTTGGCAATCGTCAAGAATATGGGATCGATTACGAGGAAACTTTTGCTCTAGTTGCCAAGATGACTACTCGTTCATACAATCTTGGCTATTGCAGCTTTTTAGAATTAGGAAATACATCGGATGGATGTCAAAAATGCGTTCCTTCATGGAGATATTAAAGAAGATATCTATATGCGTCCTCCACCGGGTTTGACAATAGACTGCTACTCGATGTTTGTCATTTAAAGCGTTCTTTATACGAGCTTAAGCAACCTCCCTACTCTTGGTTTGAGAAATTTTGACAAACTCTTCTTCATCTCTCTTTTGTGCAAAACAAGTATGATCCTTCCCTATTCTTGCGAAAGACTTCGCTGGTATTGTTCTTTTATTTGTTTATGTCGATGATATTGTCATCACTGGAACCGATAGTGTTGGAATTCAACAACACAAAGCTTCTTTTCATACTTCTTTTCATATGAAAGATCTTAGGTCCCTTGCTTATTTTTTGGGGTTGGAAATTCACGAAGCGACGAAAGGAATTTTTGTGAATCAATACACGTATCTCGGTGACATAATTATGTTAGCGAGCTTACAAAATTCCACTCCGGCTGATACACCGATGGAACAACGTTAAATATCGCAAAGATGACGATGACCTTCTATCGGATCCTACACTATATCGACGCCTAGTTAGGAGTTTAGTTTACTTGACAATCACTCGGCTCGATATCTCATTTGCAATCAACTTGGTGAGTCGGTTTATGGCTTCTCCACGTCATTTACATTTAGCGGCGAGTTAAGCGAATTATCCGCTATCTTACGGGTACTTCCAACCGTGGTCTCTTTTTTCCATCTAGTTCCTCGCTTCAACTTGTAGCTTATAGTAACGCCGATTGGGCTAGTTGTCACGATACGCGGCATTCTACTACTGGGTTGGTGTGTATACTTAGGTGATGCATTGATCTCTTGGAAATGTAAGAAGCAAGAACGAGTTTCCAAATCCTCAATCGAAGCGAGAATATCGTGCAATGTCCGTAACATGTTACGAAATTACTTGGTTACGTGGTTTACTTTCCGAATTAGGTTCCCACAATCTAATCCTATCGCACTACATACCGATAACACCGATGCTATTCAAATTGTAGCAAATCCTGTCTATCATGAATGTACCAAGCATATTGAGGTTGACTCGTCATTCAATTCGAGAAGCATTCGATGCCGGTGTTATTACTCTTCCTCACATCTCTACGGATCAACAAATTGCCGACATCCTCACAAAGCCTCTCACTCTTGCTCGACATCGGTTTTTTATTAACAAATTGATGCTACCGGCCTCACCGACATCAATTTGAGGGGGGTGTCAACGATAGCTGTCATAGTCTATCATAGTCAACCGTAATCTGTCATATTATTGCTTGTCATTTCCTATGTAAATATATTTCTTTCCTAGAATAGGACATGCTATAATTACGAGATATGATTTGCTGTAATTGAGGCATATGATCCGTTGTAACATCTCTATTTAATCAAGAGAAAACTCGGAGTATAGGGATACAAACTTTTACACAAAAGTTATGTCTTGTTAGAAATGATTGTCTATTGGTTTGATGGCCAAATTCCCTATTCTTACAATAAGTTTTCCTTACTTGTTACGATTTGTTTTCTAACAGTAAATCTTCTCATTGTTTCTTATGTTTTGAGTTTTTCTTCTTGATTGGATATGGAAGACCTTTCTTTTAGTTGTGCTTGAAGTTGCTTTCAAATTAATCATTGCATTAACAAAAGATTGGTTGGCCGATGGTTACTTGTGCGTGTGTGTACAGTGTTGGCTTTATTATTTGTCAGAAAACTAATAGTTTAGTTTCTACAGGTGTACGTTTACCTCCAGCAGGCTTACAAATAGAAAATTCTAGATGCCCTGCAGATGAGCGCATGTTCTGGTAAGTTCTTATCTAGATATAAATGTTTCCCACCTTATCATTTTCTAGGGAAGATTTGATACTAGCCCATCTCTTGTTTTTTTCAGTGGCAATTGCAGAACTTCTATTTTCGATGATCACAGAAGTTGCTCAAACTGCTCTTCTGATCTTTGTCTTGTCTGTTGCTGGGAGATTCGTGCTGGCCAATTGCAAGGTGGCAGGCCTGATGTTGTTATGGAGTATGTTAATGGAGGATTTGACTATTTGCATGGTGGACAAAGGAAACGAAAACATGAATTGCCAGCTGAATTACCTAAAATGACTGGCTCTGCGGGTTTTATAGGGCCAAAGTCTGGATGGAAAGCAAATTGGGATGGAAGCATTCAGTGTGCTTGTGGTCGTGACAATTTACAACTAAAAGTTTGTTCCAAACACAGAAATTTTGCAGTTTCAGTTTCAGAGTTGGTAATGAAAGTTGAAGATATGTTCAAAAATTGTGAAATTAACTGGGCTAATGCCGCTATTGAACCATGTGCATGTTTTGATTCTAATGGCAATCTTGATATCAGTAATAGTAACAAGTTATTAAAAGCGGCATGCCGAGAAGATTCTGACGATAATCATTTGTACCATCCAAAAGCCACAGATATCACAGTGGATGACTTTTCATTGGAAGACAGCTGAGCCTGTGATTGTTAGCAATCTGCTTGAAACTGTGTTTAGGTTAAGTTTGGAGCCAATACCCATGTGGCATGCCTTCCGCCAGATCAAACATGAAAAACATGGTACTCTTTTGGATGTAAAGGCAATTGACTGTTTGGATTGCTGTGAGGTCAGTACATTAACCCTCTTTTTTTTTCTTTTTTCTTTTTTTTTGCTGTACATGGAAGATTTTTTCTGTACATGGAAGACAAAAAGTTGACAACTTTTTCTGTTTGATTTTCAAGATATTTTCTAATAATTATGGCTGTGATCATTCTCCATTTATCTTGATAACTATGTGTGCAATCCTTATTGATGTGTTATCACATGTTATGATATTTAGCATGAAGCTCAATTCTTCATGAATGAAGGTAAACATTAATGTCCATAAATTCTTTACCGGTTACACAGAGGGAAATTGGCCTCAGATACTGAAAAGCTGAAAAACTGGCCCCCTTATAAAACAATTGGTGAAAGTTTGCCACGACTTGATGCTGAATTGACTTGTTTTTTTCCCTTTAAGGAGTATACCCATCCCTGTAGTGGACCTTTAAACCTCGCTGTCAGGTTGCCTCAGAATTCTTTGAAGCCAGACTTTGGGCCAAAGACATATATTGCTCATGGATTTCCTGAAGAGGTTGGGCGTGGGGATTCTGTTACCAAGCTTCACTGTGACTTGTCTGATGCGGTATGTTTAGTGTCCTTCTCTATTCTTATTCAGATAAAAGAAGTTATACTAGTGACAGAAAGAGAATGGAAGGTTAGAAATGAATAAGTATGACAAATCTGTCTGGAAAAGCTGAAAGGTGAACTCCATAATAAAAGTTAGGACAACATGGTTTTCCAATTTTAGTGTGCTATGTTTAGTTTTTCTTTGAGGCTTCTTTTTAATAGTTGAATTATAAAGCCATGCTTTAATTCCTTTTATTCTGTAGATACCACAAGCTTAGATTTGTGAGCTTTGTAAAGTTTGTTCAGGGATCAGCTAGTATCTTGTTCCTAATGTTGCATAAATATTTAAGAGAGCAATTTAAGCAGCATTAGATAGAGAGCCGCTGTGGTACCAGCATTAGATATTTTTCGTACTGATGCTCAACTAACTGTTATATGATACTCTATTGTATGAGTTTTGAGTTTGATTTTTTTCCGACCAACATAGAATAATTGTCCATTACAATGGTAAGATTGTTTGGTTTGCAACCGGAGGAACATGAGGCTTGACATCAATCACTTGGTGAGAAAACTGTCCACCGAAGTATCTTTCAGATTTCTGTTACTAGGATTCTACTGGGATGAGGTAACGAGTCAAGGACTAATGGCCATTTCGTTAATGGTGGATTTTCAGATATTATGATATAGAAAATTTTAAGACTTGGAATTTAGAAATTTTCCTTTTTATCATTAGCCGTTAATCTTGCTGTTATAGTATCTGCAGGTGCTGGTGCTATCAAGATTGGGATCTGAAATACTTGTCTAACCTCATTATTGGTCCTTTTTTCACGATTATTTTGTGCACATTAAATTTGGCTAATTCAGGTGAACGTATTAACTCATACTGCTGAGGTGTCCTATAAAGATAAACAACTTGTTGAAATACACGATTTAAAGCTTGTTCACTTCGAACAAGACCAAAGAGAACTTTTTGGATCTGATCAGAATGTGGATGAAGTTGATGATAACAAGAATGGTGTTGTTTCTGGTAGGTCAGTTAATGATGATGTGCTTATTGTCTGGTGACGTTGATGACTAGGCTCACAATTTTCTGTTTTTTCAAATAAATTAGGGAAAGCTACTGAGGAGGCAGAAGTGGTTCAAGGTAGAATCAATCAGTGGACCTTTCAATTGTGCAGATGATTTGGACGGGTCTGATGCTTTAGATGGAGGTGCTGTTTGCATGGTTTTAAACAACGGTCATTATGTGTTATATAATGGTAATAGGGCATCCGGTTATCGTTATTCGGCATTATCCGATTCACAAGAATAACGACTAATAATGACATTACTGTTATATAACATTGTTATTTACTCGTTATATAATATTGTTATACATAATAAAAAAATAATAAAAAAAAAAATCAAAACTCCGCCCTAATCAATGACCAACCCAAAAGATATGAAAATAATACAAGAAAAAAAAGTAGTAAATGGGACTTATAGAAAAAACCTAGTAGAGAATCAAAGAGAAAAAGACGAAAAAAAGAGAGTGAATTAAGAGATAGAGAGACAAAGAAAGGAGGATGTGAATTAAGGAGTAGAAGAGTAAAGAGAGACGAGAGAAAAAAAAAAAAAAGGAATATGTGAAGCGGAGAGGGACGAATAAGAGAGAAAAAAAAATAAAAAAAGAAGGATGTCAAGCTGAGATAAAGAGGAGGGGAGAGAGAGGGAAAAAAGAAAGCGTGAAGAAGAGACGAGTCGATTAGAATAGAGAGAGAGTTGTATACCGAATGGAAATATATTGATATTCACAATTAAATGCAAATGCAAGAGGAGCATGTAGCCTTTAGTTGAATAAATCATAAATTAGTCTCTTTAGTTTTAAAAAATAATTTAGTTAATTTTTCTTGTTTTAAATAACAATTATTTAGTTCATTTTATGTTACTTTCTAATTTTTTTAAAAAAAATAGAAAAAATAAATTTATATCATAAAAAGATTGATGGAAAAATAACATTTTATGAAAGAAAATAATATTATATTAAACATGGTTAATATTCATCAAAAGATTAAATTATTTAATCTTTTTTAAAAGACTAATCAAATTATTTATCCAAACTAAAGGGACTAATTTATAACTTAATTAAAGTTTGCATTCCTATAGATATTTGATTTCGTGCACTCGAAATTTGGTTTAATAATAAAAAATAAATTACATATTAGTCCTTTTAGTTTTGATAAATGAATTAATTGATCCTTTTTGTTTCAAAAACTAATTATTTAGTCTTTTCTTTTTTGTTCACTTTATGTTATTTTTAAATTTTTTTCCTTTTTGTTTTAGAAATACAAAAGTAAATAAATTTATATCATGAAAAAATTGATGAAAAAAAATCATTTCGTGAAATAAAATAATATTACATTAAATATGGTCACCACTAATCAAAAGATTAAATAATTAGTTTATTATTTTTTGTGTAATATAATCTATTATAAGTGTTATTAACTTTTTTTTATATATAATAAATTCAACTATTGTTGTCTAATATTAAACTATTAGATATGTCATTGTTTATTAGTATGTTTAATTAGTAAAACTATTAAAAATATGTGAATTAGAATAAATTTATTAACATTTACTAATGTATACATGATATCGATAGCCACGACTATTATTTTATTATCATGATAAGCCACGATCCATCATGGTGATTGTGATCATTCTTTTAACTACGATCGTTACTTAAAACTATGGTCTCATCTTATCTTCATCATAGGAAAACCTTTAATGATGACCTAGCGGTTGCTAGTCAACCTCTTTTATGTATTGATTTTAATCTAAATCTCTTAAAGGTGTAAGAAAATATAATTGAAGACTATAGAATACGTGTATTCATCTTTTATATATATTGATTACAAGCTAAAATCAATACATTGATTACAAGCTAAAATCGAGCCTTGACTTAAGGCCAAATTTGACAGAATATACAAGAAAAAATATTTAAAGATTACACTTGGTAGAAATTTAATATAATAGAGAATTATGGAATATAAAGAGGTTTTCATAGTCAATAGCTCTCATAAGTGAGTTTAGAGACCTTGTCAATACATGATCTACACAACCAGATTCAATTCCCTACACGAAACTCCATAGCCTCTTATGTAGACTTGACCATTAAACGGTTATAAATTCAAACCTACCAAGATGTTTGAAGTGGCTATTTTATCCGATTCAATAAATACCCATTAAAAATATTCAATAGGTATTGAAGTGGGTAAGGGTAAAAAAATACATACTCACTCATATGGTTTCGGGGTATGGGTACCCATTATTTACCTTATTAATACCTACTAATTTATTTATTTTTTAAATTAAAATATAAGGATATAATTGCATAAAATTTAAAAACTATCAAAATATTTTTTTCAAAAACTTTGAGGACCAAAAAAAGTTAAAAAATAAATGACCAAAATACAAAATAATAATAATAATAATAATAACAAATTAAATTTTATGGATTAAAAAACTTTTCTTAAAAATTATAAGGACCAAAATGAATATTTTTGACAAATTAAATTTAGAGGTTATTTAATGGGTATTAAATGGGCAAGTAAACTAATATGGAACGAGTATAGGCTAGGTAAAGATCTATATAATGATTTCTTAATGGATAATGAATAAGGTATTCTTTTGATGGATATGATAAAATATTAAATTAATGGATCGGATATTCGTTCATTGTCATCCCTACCTTCGGACCAAAATAAACTAACCAAGTATATTTAGACTTAGTTGTAGCAAAAAACTTGCCTATTTTTTAAAATTGTGAAAAAGAGAGAAGAGAGAAAACTTGGCCCTAGGATTGCTAGAGAGAGAGAGAGAATGTTCAAAATTCTAAATTATGGTGTCCGAATACCAAGTTTTGTTTTTAAATATTTGAAGTGCTCTCCTTGACTCTCTCACAAAGCATGCCATTCAAGGTGCCATAACCTTAAGTGTCCTAAGTATTGCAAAAAGTGTATTTGTTCCTTAACAAAAGCTTATGTGTGATTGTATCCTTGAAAATAAGGTATTTACAAATGCACCACATTAGCGTTGTCTATCAAAGATAAGTAATGGTATTGATAAAGAATATCAACGACGGATAAATATATTAGTGTTCATCATAAATATCTCATAGGAATTTCTAAATTTTGTAATTAGATATATTTAAAGATGTTATAACCTTAAGTGTCCTAAGTTCTCCAAAAAGTGTATTTGTTCCTTAACAAAAGCTTATGTGTGATTGTATCCTTGAAAATAAGGTACAAATGCACCACATTAGCATTGTCTATCAAAGATAGGTAATGGTATTGATAAAGAATATCAAGGACGGATAAATATATTAATGTTCATCATAAATATCTCATAGGAATTTCTAAATTTTGTAATTAGATATATTTAAAGATGTTATGATCTTGAAATTCTAATTCATTCCTTAAAAAAAAAGATTCATTTTTTGAAATTTCTAGTTTGAATAATTGATATGCTTGAAATTTGTGTTCATCTCAAAACATTTAGTGCATTTTGAAATGTTTGTTCATTTAAAAAATTTGATGATTGAGTTAGGACATCTTTTAAAATATATTTTCATTTTAAAATATTTGAAGTGATTATTGAATTGGTAAATTTTAAAACATTTCAAAAGTTTAGTGATTCGAGACGTATGCTTGTAGAGTGTTACAAGTTTATTGAATGTTATAGGTTTATCGATTGTAGCTTATATGCTTGTAAGCTTATGTGATGCTTAAGCTTTAAGGTTGTTAAAAGCTTATAAGCTCATATACTCTAAGTTTGAAGGATGTTGAAGGTTTATGTAATGATGTAGGCTTTGGGATTCAAGATGTTTCATATCTCAAAAGTTTATTTCTTCAAAATGAATAGTAAATTGGTAGACTTAAGTGTCTATAGAAAAAATGAACTTAAATGGCTCAGAATATCTTGATAAAAATGCAAATGTTTCTTAGTTATCCAAAAAACTCATCCCGGTGCATGTGTTGATTATCGTTTAGGACACTCGAAACTTGTGAAAAGTTGTATTTCAATCACAAAAATAACAATATCATTTCTTTGGCTGAACATTTAAGCCAATAACCTAAATCCAAACATTAACAATCAAACAACACAAGCTAATCGAAACAAACAAATCCAAAATAATAATAATAATAACCAAAATATTGGAGTTGGTCAAAACCCTAGCTCTTCTTATTTGTTATTTCAAAAATTTTAACCACACACAATATAAATATAAAGGAAGTTACGAGTCCAAAATTCAGATCAAATTAACAAACCTTAGCCCTTATTTGAGCTACCCAAAATTCATAAGTAAGAAAGGCCAAGGAGCCAAACCCTAATTCAATAAATTAGGTTCTAGCCAAAAATTATGTAATCAATCTAATTTTAAAAAAATATTAATTAATAAGGATAAATTTAAACCAAGACCTACTTGAAAAAATTCAGAATTTAAAAGGGATATGTACATCAAGTAATCCAAAGATACAAATACACCACCTTTGATTCTTAATCGCGGGTTGATCAAATCACCACCATGGGTGATTAGTGCCAAGAATAAGAGTTGCGTACTATATTATGCAAAAATGTCAAAGGTTTTGAGAAAATTCTCTTTGATTTTTAATTCAGCAGAAGCTATTTAAAAGTTACAAAAGAAAGCTCAAAGGGGACATGAGATAACAAAAAAAAAAAAAAACATGAGATGAAGTGTAAATGGCACATGGTCATATCCCTTAGTGAAGCAAGCCACGTGTCGCGGCAAGCAAACCATATGGGGCCATCATGTGTGTGTTGTTACCCTACTTTTGGCTATAAATAGAAAATTTAGGTTTTATTTTCATTCATCGTTTAATTCTAGCAACCACACTACTCTTGTAAGCAAAAACCTTACACCTCTAAGCAAACCCTTTCTTCACTCGAATCAAGTTGAAGCTTTTGGTAAATCGTTGTAAGATTACGTATTTTATTTCTAAATTTATCTTGTTTGAGTATTTTATGTTTTTCTATATGATTGGTTTGTAGTTGTGTGATTAAATTGATTAGAGTGCACGCTAGTTGTTTGATCATATTAACTTATTGCTACCTAAGCATCCAAGTCTATGTAATTGTTTATCTAAACTTGTCGAACCTTTATTTCTTTAGGGGCTTTCTTATCCGCCTATAAAGTTCCTTTCCTTCCTCTCTACCATTGGTCTTTGTTTTGGCATCGCTGAAGTAAGAAAATTAGCATAATAGTGGCGACTTCAACCTCCTCCAGACTTTCGACCAAAACAACAAGCTGTTCCTTGGTGATTTTCAACCACAAACATTTCTTCAACAATGACAACAAAAGTGGCTGAAGCTACCACTTTTTAAGTAGTAACTCACAATTGAAACAACCCCTAAAACTACCTAGATAGCCTTCGAAAGGTAGCCTCATAGCATTCCTTTTCGACTAACTTTTCCTCTTTGATTGACAACATCGATTGTCTTCATCGAAGGATGAGGAAACTAGTCCGGGCAATAAAAAATCGAGACCTAAACTCATCGACTCTCCTAAAGAACTTCCTAAGCTATTTCAACAAGCAAGATAAGTTTCGACACTTTTATGGCGCCTTAATATTTTTGAAATAATATATATATGATTGTGTTGGATAAATGAGTTGCATATGAATGAAAATACAAGATAAATAAGTGATGCATACTTAAAAATATGGATTTTGAATTGTTTGAGATGCATCATTGTGTATCAAATTTAAAGGGGTCGAGACCTTAGGCGCTCTTGAAAAATAAAATTGGCGTTTAATGCCTAGCAATGGAGTTGGGAGGACTAGGCTTGGGTTTTTTTTTTTTTTAATGGTTGAATATGCACATGAAATGATAAAAATGATATGATGATGAATCTGCGTATGAAATAATGCAAGCAATATGATGATGAATGTACATGTGAAATGATAAAAATGATATAATGATAAATGTGCATATGAAATGATGAAAATAACATGATAATGAATATGACATGATGAGATACATGACATGATAATGAGCATGACATGATGATGAACTTGACATGATGATAAGCATGATATGATGATGAATATAATATGATGATAAGTATGATATAATATGAAATGATATTATATGATTTATGATATGGGCTCGTAGTCCCTAGAGACTCGTCTATCCTTCGATATGGGCTTGCAACTCGCTAGGAGCTTGTCGTTTGTTGTTTGTTGTGAATATAATATAAGTTACAATATGGATTCGTAATCTCTAGAGGCTCACCTATATATTAATATGGTTGCGAGTTGCTAGAAACTAGCCAAAATTTGAACTCTTATTCCTTTTTGCCCTTGGCATTGGCCTCCGATCAACCTCGGTCATGATATACTCAATTAATCAACTCATATAGTTTGAATTCACTCAAGTAGGCATAGGTTTATAATATAGGAAGACCAAACTTTAGTTTTCATATACATATAATGCAAGCTACCTTAAGCAAGACGTGATGACGATGATTTCAATCTTTTCCACTCGTAACCAACCTCTTATTCGGATATTTGTGTAGACTAGTTTGTTTAGGGTTTCCTAATTTCCTCGATTGTTAGGTGGTGACTCCACACACTCTCGGGCTCCCCATCAACATTATACTCAAACAACTTTTTAAATCGAATGATCAATCAAATTTTTGTTTTTAGGATCAAAATTACTGATTTGCAAAGGAGAAAAAATCAAAATAACTTAGATACACAATTCTTATAATTTGGGAAAGCATTTATACAGAAAAAAAAATCTTAAACTAGCTAAAAAAAGCATGGTAAAGTTAATCCAACCATATCTTTTTGTTGAAAACTGCGATATATCTACAGCATTGAAATCACAATTTGTATGGATATGTTCCAAAACTAGTACTTCACAGTTTTGAGAACTTCACTAACTTGAAACGACGGTACTCATATGCAACTTGTTTGAATTTTTTTTTTTTTTTTATGTACATATTTAAGAGCCTTCTCCATGTGTGCATATGAGAAATTTGTGCGTATCATAGATGCCTTGCGCACGGTTTTGCTGATCCTCTATATCATTCCAATTTTAACGGATGTCTCTAAGAGCCAACTCATTTGAACTCTTACTTTACTCTCCCACGTCATGACAGATACTTTGCACGCAACATGCAGTAACCAGGCCCCTGACACTAGATATAGTATTGCGTTTGCTTTACACAAATTAGTCATCGTCTGTCAGATTTGTCAGAAAGATCTCTATCCGTGGTAAGAAGCGGAAAACTAATCATGGCCCAGGAATCCTTTTACTCAACGAAGAATTGATTCTAGTGGTATCTACCATGATATAATCCATTTGGAAACAAACCTCAACACCATCATTGGAAGTGTACATATGGATTCAAAGAGAACAAGCCCAAACCAATTTCAGGATGGGTGAGTCAGTGTAAAATGCTTTACAAATTTCAAATCTTCAAGCTGCCGAAGGAGAACCTTTTAAATTTCCTTTTCCTTTCCTTATTCCAATTTCCTTTCCTTGACAGCCATATCTGATATGCTGTCTAGCTGATATTATCATGATATGGCAATCAGGAACGGGCAGGATAAACTTCACTTTTTGGACCAAGCTGGGTGTCTCCTTCGGGAACACTAGCAGATTTATCCACTTCAAACACTGTCTTCTCTAGCTTTGGCATTATGGGAGGTCTTGTTCGTCGGGTGACTGTCATCTTCAACCCTTCTGTTGTGTGAATTGTTGCTCCTGTTGTCATTCCAACCTGCAAAAAGATTGATTCATCAGATGTATCCAAAATACTGCATCTTGTTTTTCCTTTTCCAATCTTTTGATATTCTGGCCTAGTGTAATTATATGTTGTTCTATAGACTAATGAGTACCAATTAGATGACAAATCCTTTTTAAGTGCTCAATGAAAAATTAAGTGCAAACCTCGAAAAAGTTCCCAACCTCTAGGGGCATTCTCAATTGAATCTGCAACCTATTTTTAGTTTCAATTGGATCCCTAATGTATCAATGGATTCTCATTCAGATCCTTCCATTAGTTTCGATTAACATAACCATTGGGTAATCATTCGAAATTCATTTGACTTCTTTTTTCTTATAAAAAACTCATGAATATCCTAGAATTTGACTGCCTAATTGAGTAATTAAACCATACTATATAAAAAAACATAAACGGCTATAGTTTCTTTACATAATTTAGTCTATGTTCTTGGCACATCCATTGCCTGCATATCCATAAAGGGTTCAATAAAATTGTTAAAATTAATTTCAAGATAATTAAAGAAATCAATAAAATATTATATAGGAATAAAATTTGAAAGCATTATATATAAAAGAAAAAAAAGTTACAAATGTGAATAAAATTTGTATTCACAGCTCTATATTTTAACATGATTACATTAGCATTATAGTTTTCCAAATCATGGGAGACAAATATTAAAGACATATATACCAATAAAATTTTTATTCCACCTTTTACATCAAGTCCTTTTCAACATTGATGTTAAAAAGGAATAACAAAAAATTTATAAATAGTTTCGTCTAATGGAGTAAAAAAATAACGTAAAACAATAACAAAGGATATATATATATATATATATATATAAAGGATCTAATTTAATTATTAGATAAATTTTGATAAATTTATATTATTTTTTAGATTTTAATTGTTGTCTTTTGTTGACCTATTTTTAAGTATTTTTGGAGTTTTAATAGTAAAAAAATAAAATGACAATAGAATACTATATAGGTCTGGAGTGATTTAATAGGATTATTTTATATTATTTCAAGTTTTATGCGATGTATAAATAGGTATATGAAGAAAAAACGGAATTAACCTATGTTTTAACAATTATATTAATGTTCTAGTCTCTTTCTTAATCAGAGATAGAGGTGAGTTTACAAATTAGTATTGACATATATTTTATATTGTGATATACAAATAAAAAAAAAATTCTTATTTATAATGTTGCATGTAGTCACACGAAGCAAAAAAGAGAATTTTATAGACTTCTGAGTTTTAGTGATTACTTAACAGTTTTATTTACTGAAACTGAGAGATGGATCTAATTGAGAATAAATTAATATGTTTGGGATCTAAATGAAAAAAAAATAATAATAAAAAAAAAAATAGGTAGAGACCCAATTAAGAATGCTCTTCTAGGTTTGCCGAAAAATTAAGAAGTCACCTGTTTTGTTTGTTTGTTTTTTTTTTCACAAGTGTTTCTTGCAAAGCTACTCCTGGTACATGTTTTTAGTGGCATCAGACCTAGGTGATCAAAGGCATATAAGTGTTGTAGAATATTAGCAAGATATATTTACCAAATTCGGTTCTTGCTAGCCACAAGTTTTCTGATCAAGTTAATGTAGGAAGAGAAGCTAGCCTCTTGTTCCCGATTAAAGGGAATTTGGTTTCAAATTGAAAGAGTGTTTCATGTGTGTATATATATATATATATATATATATATATGAACTTGTTAAATTTTAATTTTTTAAATTAAAAAACCACAAGGTAAGTTTTTTAATTTCATTTTAAATAATGCACATTTAGTCACGAAGTTTTAAGATAATTAGCTCAATTTGTTCTCATATTTTATACTCCGTTTCTAACATGTGTTTACAAGTTCAATTGTTTTTAATTTATCTTTGAATTAAAAAAAAAATTGAAAAAGAAAACAAATCGTCATTTAGTGTTAAATTAGGGTTGGATTTGAGTTTTCAAGAGAAATTTTAAAGTATATTAACTGTAATTATCAATAGTTTCTTAAGATATAAATATAAAAATGAGAGATAATTAAAAAAAAAAACATTTTTGAGCCTAAATAAAAATATTCGTCACTTTTTAGTTTTTAGATGTCCTTTTTTTCTCTCTCTTTAAAATAGATTTGTAGAATAAATATTATAGTTACTCATGGAGTACTCTAAATTATTTTTCTCAAGTGAGGGTATTTCTATAAGCTTGCATGGAATTGTCTAATAAATGATATATTAGAGAATGAACTAAAATATAAGAATAAATTGGGAATAATTAGATTTTTAAAGATAGATCAGAAATGAGTCTAAAATATAAAAATAAGTTGAGCTGCAATTTTTATACTCATCAAAGAATACCATTTTATTAATTTTATGTTAATTAAAAACTACTACTATAGTTTATTGAAATGAAATAATTCGCCATTCTATTGATAGCCCTTTTACCGGCATTTACTTAAGCAGATTTGTTACTTTTGACAGTAACACCTACACTCGCTTTCATGTCTAGATAACCTCTCTGTTCTCTCATTGTTTCTCTCCCTCCATCTTCATCACCATTTCAAAGAACTAAAAGCAGAAAAGCCACCAAAACACAGATCTTTGGATAGGATTTAACTCACTGTTAGAAATCTGTACAATTCCACTGAAACTTATGCATTCAAGAAAGAATTAAAGATTATATCAAAACATGTATAGCAAATTCCTTTCCTTATGAACTCGTTTAATTATATCCCCAGGGATGGTGGTTTTTGTGCTTAGTAGGGAGAGTGGCGGAGTGAGGAGAAGGGAGAGGAGGGGAGGGACAGGCATAAGTAGAAGATGAGAGGTGAGAAACAGAGAGAAGGGGGTGCAGGGAGAGGCAGAGGGAGGAGAAACAAGATGGGATAGAGAACCGGAGTTGGAAATAGAGAGATGAAGAGGCGAGGAAAGGTAGGCAATGGTTGCTATTGTGCAGGCGAGGGAAAAAGAGGGATGAGTCAAAGATAAAAAGATGAGGTTGACAGTAGACATTGATGAGTTGAGGGCTAGCTTGAGAATAACTGATGTGTGAAATCTGAAACCTATTTATTATTATTATTATTTTTTTTTTGTATATTTGTTCGGGGTCCAATTTATAGTGTTTTAAAATTTTGCTTTTCATATTTGGTTTGCTATATTTGTTTATAAAATATGACTAGATTTTGAAATCCAACGGACACGGATTCATTGGTCTTTTTAATTATAATGATTACTTTTTAAAATTATTTTTCTTGTCCTTTCTAATTTTTTTATTTATTAATAGAAAAATAAAAGAGAAATAGGTGAGATAGGAAATTTTAGTTAGAAGAAAGGGCATTTTAAAAACGAAAACTACTAAATCAATGACAACACCTTAATTATTAACAAAAAGTGATGGAGAGACTAAATAATTAATAGATACAAAATCAAAAGTACTGAATTATTTCTCATAGAAAAGGGATTATTAATTAAGTAAACCACAGGAAATAATTTATAATTAACTCTTTTATGTTATATATTTAAGTATAATCAATTCAAGCAATAAAATAAAATAAAATCATTCAACTTACTGGAGGTGCTCCAAGTGCCACTTGAAAGTTAAATCTCCGAACAAGCATGGCAACAGCCACTACAGCCTATAAATCAGTGTAATGAACAGTTTAGCTTCGTGATACAAATCACATTAAACTTAAAAAAAAATTACATCCATCTAGAATCAATTACCTCAAATGAAGCAAAGATGTCACCTACGCATTTCCGTGGTCCTCCGCCGAAGGGCAAATAGCTAGAACAATGTATAACAGTGTCATTGACTTGCAGAAGGATGGGAATTACTAGGTTTTACGTGGCCATGACTAAAATAGCAATGTTAAAATAGCTGCTGTTGCTGGAAAAAAAACATAATAGTTTCTTGAGGCAATAATTAAATTCCACATCCATATATGCAAGTTAAATTATGGAGACCTATGAGAAAGTCAGGTATGCTTCTTTCTTCTTAGATGGAGATCTTTGCACTGGCATAAACCTATGGTCACTGGGTAGTATTGCTTCAACTAGGGAGGACAATGTATCAAATATATGTAGGAGGTTTGGGGGAGGTATTGAGCTCCTAGAAGCCATTAAATATCTGTGGCGAACCAGTAGAGACTCAAGTCTCATATTAAAGTGCTGGGATAAATCAAAGCTACGATACCACTATGTTTTGCAAAACTCACATAAATCAAACAATGGCACAAAAATAAAAGGACATGCAAAATTTAATGTGCTTCGATAAAGCCTATTCTGAAAAAAATTCACTACTAAAATTAAGGATTACAACCAATGATTTACCATTAACACCAAAATCTTACTACCCAAACCATATTAGACCTAAGGAATCTCTCACTAAACAACTACGAAACCTCAAAAACTACTATTGTGAAAAAACCCAGCAAAAAGGCAGCTATTTCATTAAGAAAAATACTTCACGTCCAACTTCAACATGGGTAAAGTCTCTTTTCCTAAACAGAAAATGCCAGCACATTCCATTCTTGTTTTCTGATTTTCCATTGGAGTTGAAAGCTGGAAAAGGAAAAGTGGAAAACATTTTCCAAACCTTAACAAACCCCTTGGCTTTTTCTTTTTCTTTTTCTTTTTTCCGTACAATCAAGTGCATAATTTGTTCTATGCAGACTATTTACTCATGAGCTATCCATCATTTACGTGATTTTGTTAGAAACAATCAAACTCACTAGAATCAAACTAAACTGAAATATGCAACATTTTCCGAGCCTTTGTAAATATGATGTAATAATGTCACAGTTGTTGCAGTAAATATTGTGCTAAATCAACTTAATTCATGCAATATGCAAAAGCATTAAGCAACATACCAGAAATTTTGGTTTGTTTCATTTGGATTGGGACCATCTAAAGGCCATCTCTCAGGATTGAATTTATCTGCATCATCCCAGAGATTTGGACTGCGGTGCAGGTTCCAGATTGAAATAAATATATCCTCACCCCTATCCACAAACAAGACAGTAACATTAAATTTTGCACACATCAATATTGTTGTTTGTTACTGAACCTCAGCATTTTAATCAATGATTACAAGGCAGAACCAGAACAGCAATGGCCAAAAAACCCACAAAAAGAAATCAACAAAAAAATGGCGATTGTTAATATGTAGAATAATACTTCTTTCATATATTCTAATCATATACATATATAAGGACTTATATATGATAAATAGATTAAACATACAGCTATGTGTATATTTCTAATTTAAGAGAAATTATACAAGAAATATATAGAATAGAAAGTAGGAAAGAATACAGCTCATTCCTATTAACTCTCCCTCTCAAGTTGGGGCGTAGATATCACACATGCCCAACTTGGATAGCAAAGTATAGAATGGTCCATTAGTGATAGCATGAGTCATAACGTCAGCCAAATGATCCGAACTTCGATATAAGGAATCTCTATTGTGCCGTAATCAAGATTATCTTTAATATAGTTCCTGTCAAGTTCAACATGCTTAATTTGATCATGTTGTACTAGATTATTAGCAATCTCAATGGTTGTTTTGTACATCATCATAGACCTTTTTGGACTAAACCTAAGTTCCTCTAAAAGAATTTTCAACCAAGACAATTCGGTGATTGCATGGTGCATAGCACAATATTCAACTTCGCACTAGAAAATGAAACCACATTTTTGTGATTTGCTTCTCCAACTCACCAAGTTGCCTCCAACAAAGGACAAATATCCAAAAGTAGATTTGCTATCCAGATCAACTACCAAGCAAAATCCAAGTTTGTATAACTCACATCAAAATGTCCATGTTTGGAGAATAAAACACCTTTACCCGGAGCTGATTTTAAATAAACCAGAATTCAATTCACAGCATTCATGTGTTGATCACTTCGATTGTACATAAAACAACTTACGACACCGATTGCATATGCTAAATCCGGCCTTGTGTAAGTTAAATAGATCAACTTTCCCACTATCTTTTGATATCTCTCCATGTTTGTCGGAATTTAATCGGAATAAATAGACAAGCCATGATTCACCTCAATAGGAGTATTTATAGGCTCATAGGTAAAGTTACCGGTTTCAACTAGGAGATCCAAAATACGCTTCTCTAGGGAAAAAAATAGGCCTTGCTTAGGTCGAGAGGCTTCAATACCTAGAAAGTATTTGGAAAGCCTCAAATCGTTTATCTCGAATTTTTGATCAAATAGCTTCGAAGTTTCTCAATCTCATCTATGTTATTACCTGTTACAATCATATCACCAACATAAACAAGAAGTAGGGTAATATCATTATGATCATATTTATAGAACAAGGTATGATCTACCAAAGCTTGCTTGAATCCATACTCCTTCATTGCATGACTCAATCTCCTAAACCATGCCCTTGGTGATTGCTTTAATCCATACAATACCTTTTTAAGTTTGCATACCTTTACTTTTTTTCGGTGTAAATCCCGGAGGTGGATCTATAAATACTTCCTCTATCGGATCACCATGAAGGAAAGCATTCTTCACATCAAACTCGTCATAAAGACCAGTCCAAATTAACTTTAAGTGATAGTATGACGTGAATAGTATTCATCTTAGCAACTAGTGCAAAAGTCTCTTAATAGTCGATACCATAGGTTTGGGTATAGCCTTTTGCGACCAACCTAGCCTTGTACCTTTCAACCATCCCATCTATCTTGTGTTTGACGGTGAATACCCATTTGCACCCTACGGTCTTCTTTCCCATTGGTAACTCAATCATTTCCCAAGTACAATTCTTTTAGACAGCGATCATTTCATCTACCATCACATCCTTCCACTTAGGATTTTCAAGGACTTCACGAAAATGAATAGGAATAGGTATAAAAGACAATTAAAGAGCAAATATTAAGTTAGTCTTAGGCAAACGGTTATAGGATATAAAGTCGGAGATCGGGTAAATAACATTGAAGGTTTTTGAGAAACCGAATCTATTAGTTGCTTTTCTTTCACAAAGAGGATATCTCCTATTCGATCAATATTAGAATTGAGATTGGAATTTTCAGAAGATTCGAAGAATAGGTACATACCACGAGTATCAATCCTAGAAGATACATCCGATGGCATGGTAGTATCATCAAGGGAGGTGCTAGAATTAGGAGGCGAACGGTGATATCTTCGTTTCCCATTAAATATCCTTTCTTACGAAACGAACCGATCTCTCAAGTCTCCCATCATCCGGTTTAATTTTATTTTCCTCAACGGAAAGATCATCTAAAACTAAGGATTCCCCATTTTCCTTAATGTTATCTATACTCGAGATCCATATATGTTTTTCTCCCAACCAAAGTTGTTCCTCCTTTACTATTAATATCCCCTTAAAGAGGAACCATAGATATATGGCCAAAAAAATAGGACTCATTTTCACAAAATTGAACATCCATTGACACATAATAGGTTCTTGTAGGAGGATGAAAACATCCGTATCCTTTTTGTGAATTAGAATAGCCAAGAAAAACACATTTGATAGCACGAGGATCAAGTTTATCTCTATGAAGAGAATGAGCATGAATATAGCATACACGAGTAAAAAATCTTAAGACAAATATTAAGAGCGAGATGGAAAAGAATGAAATCTAGATAATATCCTTAAAAGAGTTTGAAAATAAAAAATCTTAACGAGCATTCGATTGATAAAAAAAACAACATTCATGCCAAAAAGGTTTTGGAACACGCATTGTAAAACATAGGGCTCGAGCCACTTCAAGGAGATGGTGATTCTTACGTTCTACTATGACATTTTGTTGATGTGTGTGAACAAAAGTTGTCTAGGAAAAAATGTCATGTTGCGTCATTAACTTAGCAAGAGATTGATTCACAAACTCATGATCATTGTCAAAATGAAAAACTTTAACTTTAGTGTTAAATTGTGTGAGAATCATGTTGTAAAACTAAGAAATAAAGTGAGACACATCATAAATTTCATCAAATATACCCAATTGACCTTAGTACAGTCATCAATAAAAAAGAAAATACTTATTTCTCGAAACGAAGTGAAAGGACTCGACACATCGGCATGAACACATGAAAAAGAAATAATACTTTTAATAAAACTGACTTTAAAAGGAACAAAATGGTTTTTAGCATAAATGCGTTGTTCATATTTTAAACTAGAAACATAAATTTTGAAAAAAAAATTGAGGAAACAATCTTTCTAAATAAGAAAAAGATGGATGTTCCAACCGACAATGCCCCCATGATAAGAAGTGCTCTTTTGAACGGTTAGAGCTGAAGCGTCGAGTGGATTTCTATCCCATGATAACCTATCGTTGAACTTCTCGACGAACCAAGGAGTAGGCTTCTTCTAACCTCGGTAGAGGAGAAGTAGCTACAATATGACTACTAACTTGATCTAAATTATGATCAAGACCGGCAAGAAAGATATAAAACTTTTCTTCGTATGTTTGCTATATTTTTCAATATCGGCAGCACGAGTCATATCATTTGGCCTTTGGTAATCAATCTTTACAAAAATTGAGTTTAATTCATTGTAATTTTTTGCTAGAGGCCGACCACCTTACTTGCGATTGGAAAGACTTCTTCATGAGTTCATAAACTTGAGAAGAATTAGATACATCAAAGTACCTCCTTTTCACAACATCCTAGACTCCCTTTGTCGTGCAACATTGCACAAAGTGTGACATTAGATTATCGCTCACTAAATTAGTAAGCCAAGATTTGACAACTGCATCTCCAGTCTCCCATTCATCATAGATTAGATCATCTTCTACTAGTGCAACCTTTTTTTCCATTGATATAGCCCTTCTTTTTTCTTCCAACAATATGCATCTCCAAAATCTTAGACTAGACCCGATAGTTAGCACCATCCAATTTAATATGGATGGATGAAGGAGCATCATGACTATTTGTGATCGAGGTTTTCCTGTTGTCAATATCTACAACCACGAGGTTTGGTAGACATATTATGGTACAGCTAGTGTTTTAGGAAAGAAAAGAGCGAGTTGTAGCTAGGGTTTTGAAAAAGAAGAAAGGAACAGTCTGCAACTAGGGTTTTTGAAAAAATTATAACTTGGTAATATACGAAATAATACTTCTTCCATATATTCTAATCATATA